CATTTTTAAAAGAACTACTTAAAGCATTCTGAGTAAGATAAATGAAAGAAAAGAAGAACAGGAAGGAAAAGAACTTAATGAATAAAAACCAGATGTAATGTTTTGGATGTAGTACACCATCATTCGCCAAAATCCTGTTACTTAGTGTAGTAAATTGCATTAGAATTTATCCATTGAATGGTAATTTGGAGTGTCAATGCCGCCATAGGTTTCATTGATTTAAATGGGCTTTCTCTAACTGCATTTTACTTCAGCATAATAAGCCCAGTTGAATCAATGGAACTTATGGAGGAGTTGATTCACTAAGTCCCCATTGATTCAGTGGACCTACTTTAGTGCTATTTACCAGAGTAAGCAACAGGATTTTGGCCATTCTTTAAAGCTGCCACCTTGAAACTCAGAAGAGTGATGATGACATTCAACTTCCATTTGGAAAAGAACAAGAAGTAAAGCCATATTTCTTATTTTACAGAGAGCGGCCCTCTGTTTGAAAGTGTGTCCAGTCTCCTTGAAGAATAATTCTGTACATTGCCCAGATAATGTACTGTTATAAGCAGCATAAACAAACAGCAAATAAATAAAGGAAATAAAGAGGGAGAACAGGACCTGTAAGATAGCTAGCTCTTCAGCAGTGAGCACCTGAGCAGTAGACAAAGCATGAAAACTGGCTACTTGTTTGAAGTCTTCCTCACAATGGTGGGATGTGTTGTATTTTTATTTAAAATAATTACTGTATATACTTGAGTATAAGCCTAGTTTTTCAGTATAATTTTTTTTTGCTGAAAAAGCACACACAAGAAACACACACCCCTTGGCTTATACTCAAGTCAGTGTCAAAATTACATGTTCTCCCCTGCAGTGCGGGTGTTCTCTGGACTCCCCTGCTCATCTACGGGTGCCTGCACCCTCTGCGGGTGGTCCAATGATCCAGGTTAAGTACACTGCATTTCCGCTTCCAGGACGCTCCCATCCTTCTCCTTCTGCATATTCTATGTACCCGCCTTCCTCCTCCCACCTTCCTCCTCCATCCTCCATCTCCCTCCATCCCGTTACGCAGCAGTAGAGCAGTAAATAAGCGCAGCATCTGGTATGAATCCTCCCTCCGCAGCTAGTGAAGTGTGTCTCGCAGCTCAGAAGGGCAGTATCTTCAAAAACATTTAACCTACTGATGCCTCAATTAATGTAATTTTTTGGTATCTATTTTTTTTTTTTTGAAATTTACCAGTAGCTGCTGCATTTTCCACCCTCAGCTTATACTTAAGTCCATAAGTTTTCCCAGTTTTTTATGGTAAAATTGGGTGCCTCGGCTTATATTTGGGTTGGCTTATACTTGAGTACATACGGTATTTCTAAGTTACCATCTATATGTGGGCATAGTAGACACACATTTTCTGTCACTCTGTGTCTTCTTTTACTCTTTTTCTTCATGCACTTCTTTCACAAAGCAAAACTGGTTACACAAATTCCTAGAGGACATAAAGTCCGTATAGATTTAGTTTTCACAGGAGTTACATTTATTATTCCATAGAATAAACTGGATGTGGATCTTGGAGGAACCAATAAAACACAATCCCCCACCCCTGTCTCTCTGTGGGTGGGTGGGTGCGTGTGTGTGCACATGTACATGTGTGTGTGTGTGTGTGTGTGTGTGTGAGAGAGAGAGAGAGAGAGAGAGAGATTTCTCCCCATCTTGTGGCATAGCCTTGGATTGACCTTTCTATTGGTGCTGCTTTTGATATGAATTTCACTGAACCTCTCGAAGTCTTCTTCACTTCTCATGGACTGAATGTTCTTTAACATCCTCACTTCTCTTGGTTTGCTCATGCAAGATACTACAATGTCTCCCCAGACCATAAATGGCTGACATAGTTTCTATGTCATGGTGCCACTTTTAGTTAATGTTTCATTATTATGTTGCAAATGTAAACAAGAACTGATCACCACTTAGGACATATTTATTCACACAATGTATTTCAGATTTCTTCTGCTTCATGTGTTTCCTGGATGCAGAAATGTGCTTCGGCAAGATACCTATGAGTTTGCTATTCGTTAAGTATTCTGGCCTCTAAAATATTCATCTAGGAAAACCTACTCCAAATTTTATTCCATATTCTTCTGCAATGAAAACATGTGCATACAATAAACATTAAAATCTTAATTTTAAAATTTCTTCCGTTTAAAACAAAGGGCTCAACAGACCATCTGGTTCAAAAGTGCTCTTCCAGATGTTGTTCAAATGTGACATTGTCTTCCACTGTTGGCTATACTGGCTGGGGCTGATGGGAGTTGAAAATCTAGCAACATCAGAAAGATAGTGTATTCTGATCCTAAGCTGTGGAAGCTTCTCCTGTAGGAAGCCAAAAGTCATGGGTAAATGCTGTTACACAAGAAACATTTCTGCAAATCATGGTTATGTTACAAACAGAGATGGATACAAAATGAACCACAAACCAAAAACCCTGGTGAGCCAGGCTGGTTTGAGGTTCATTTCAAAACCCACTTTGAGGATCCTATTTTGCCAAAGCAAAACAAAATGCCAACCTTTTTCCCCCCTTTGGTGTTTTGTTTGCTTTGGCAGAAGGGAATGCCTACCCATTTCCACAGCCCCCGTTGCCTCCACCTACCTGCTCCTACCACTGTCACTGTGGGGGTCATCCTCAGAGGCAGCAACCCTGGCTTCCCTGTCAGGAGTCAGCCATTGCCTCTGAGCATGCGGCAGAGATGGCAGGAGCAGGTAGGCACCTCCCCAGGCATGAACTGGAGATACGAACCACAAACTGGTTCTTTTTTCTCGTGGTTCACGGTTAGCCACAAACCACGAACTATCACGAACCACCAGTTTTCTGGTTTGTGGCCATCTCTAGTTACAAACATCATAAAGCCTGCGTTTGTCAGGGGATTGTTGTGGAGAACTGGAAAAATTTTAGGCAATCATTTTGCCTCTTCTTGACAGCAATAGAAGCAGAAGAGAAAGGTGATTAAATCAAATGTTCTCTTTTCTCACATGGTGGGGAAGAAAGGTTTGGAATGTATAACTAAGACACTAACAATATGTTTGAAGAATACCACATGCCTAAAAAAGAAGGAAATATCTGGAAAAAGAATTTGACATGCACACAAAAACCATCTCAGGACCATGGATCAATGTATAACTGAACTAAGAAGGCTGACTAAGAATGGTAGCAGTGACTTGAAGGGACAAAATTATCTGGGAGTATTAGAGATGTAATGTTCTCAAGTAGGAGGAGGATTTCAATGGCATGTCATATTTTTTTCTGCAGCCTATGTTTGAGTTTATGGGTGGGTTTGAACATGTTTATGAGTAATCTGGTGAGACTAGCCAGATTACTCGTAAACGTGTTTGAACTTGCTTATGAGTTCAAATGTAGGTTGCAGAGAAAATATGAAATGTCTCAGAAATTCTCCACTTAGTTCTCAGCAAGTGGCTGGTTCATGAAGGAGATCTGTCCCTGGACAAAACCCTCCAGCCCCAGAAACTGGGAGAAGTCTAGTCCATGATTACATCAGAAGATGTTCTGCATGCTTTGACTGTGAAGAAACAAAATGTCAGCAAGCTCAGAAAGGGAAATACCTTCCTCACAAACCCTACAGAAGTGGGGGAAGGACACACAAAAGAGTCAAGCGTGCAAAAATTAGGGAATGAAGGATAGTCTTAAACAGCAGTCATGTGTTTGCAAAACTGTGTTGCAACTGTGGGAAATATTATCAAGATGCTACCAAGGCAGAGTACAAAAAAGTCAGGTGAATATTGTCACAAGAGACTCTAGAGCAAGAGTTTTATGTTGATGAAGTGGAACACAAACTCCAGAAAGGGACTGCTTCCTCTCTCTACAGCTAATTGAAACATTTATCCCCATTTAAACTGGACACTTGATACTCAAACTGAATGAACACCGGCTTTCTGCCAGGAAGATAAAGCCTCTCAAATGACATGTAGAAATGGAATGTGTATCACATAATTAGCACACCAAGCTATTTTCTTCTCTGTCTTTTCTCCAGTTAATATAGTTTATGTGTTATTTCTACCTGTATGGCTCATAAGAATTATTTTGTTATAATTTAATAATTGAGGAAGGAAGGAGTAACCGGAAAGTTTGTAATTTGTTGACACTTCCTTGATATCTTCTTAGCATAGCATAGGCATCCTTCAGTCTCAAGAGACTATGGTATCGTGCTCTGCATGGAGGACTTGGAACAGCGTCTACTGTGGCTGAGAAGGCCCATTCGAGAGTGACAATCCCTTCCACATTGAGGACAAATACAATCTGTCCCCTGTCCAGCTCCCTGATTTTGCTGCTTTCGTGACTGCCTCTTTGCCTGCTGGGCAAGGGTCTCTTCAAATTGGGATCAAATTGATATCAAGGAGTTTGTAATTTAAAGAGTGACCCTGGTTACCAGATGGCATTTGCAAACAGAAACAAAAATAGAAAAACCCTACGGTTCTTCTTGCGTAGAAGTGTCTCAGAGGCACTCTGCAGAACAGAGTTGCTTTTGGCCTGCTCTTTGTTCCTCTGGCCCTGTTTATGAACCATAAAATGTTACATCCCTGATGTAGTTGAACCCATGAAAACCAAAGAGAAACAGGTTACTTAAATCATGTATAATAAAATGAAACAACCCATTTAATGCAAGAAAATTGCCTATGAGCAAACCGAAGAGCAGCAGAATGGAATGCAATAATGCCAGAAAGGCCATGAGGCCAGGAAGTAATAATGTTATATTTCTGATGTCTAGAGGGAAGCAAGTTCAAGACGATCTTTTGTTTCTCAAGGCCACTGATTAATAATGCAGGCCATTGTGTTTAAAGTGCTGTTGCTTTTTTATTCCACAGTCCTTGTGCAATGCTTTGGGATGTTAACTAGTAGCCACTGGTGCCCCTGAACAAAAAAAATTAATCACACTGGTATCTTCTATCCATCTTTCTCGTTTTCTTTCTGACTCTTTTGTTCTCCTTCCCTCTTGTCCTTGCCCTTTTGCAGTGGCAGGCCATTTCTCTGACTGTCATTGAGAAGGTTCAGATAGCGGCAGCCATTTTGGGTTCCCTTTTCCTTATTGCTAGTATATCGTGGCTCGTCTGGTCAACCTTCAGTCCTTCTGCTAAATGGCAACGCCAAGACCTGCTCTTCCAGATCTGCTATGGAATGTACGGCTTCATGGACATTGTCTGTATAGGTGGGTGAGTGAAACTCCAGGCCAGCATGGAATGTAGCCCACTTTATTCTTTTGACAGAAGAAAGTCGATGGGGACGTGGTACTTTTCGGGGGGAGGGGGAAGAAAGTGGTACCAATGCCTGCATTGTTCTGTTTGGGCCCAAGAATATCATGTCTGGTGGTTTCTTTGAAAATATTAGGGCTAATTTTTTATTCTACATTGCATCTTAGCTAAAGTCTGATCCATAATGGCAGGTTCTATCTTTCTAAATCATTGCGGGTAATCTAAGAAACATTCCTAGACATACTTAAAGTTCTTCTATTTAGGCCATTATACAGATAACCCTCATAATGGCATATAAACAATCTCTGCGGTGCTAAATTCTAATCAAATGCAACAGTTATTAAGAATATTATGCAGTAGATTTTCTCTCATGTTTCTTATGGATACAAGAAGAAAGCCTTATGTTTCATTGAAATGTATTTTAGATTTGCTGGTTTTATTTGTCTGGTTTGCACTTTTACATTTAGCTAATGCAGGTTTAGATGAATAAAAAAAATTGGAAATCAGAATTCAAAAGTAGTTCTATACTGCAAATCAGAGATTTATTTCAGCTCTGAATGTAATTCTTCCAGAACCTTGTATGTACTAGCCCTGATTTTGCTGCAGAAAATTTCTGTCACAATGGAAGTATTTCCTGTTATGATTCCCCGGAAATAAAATCCAATTTTTCAATAAAAAATAAAGAAAAATGAAGAACTGACTACCAATTGGGGAAGAATGGAATGAAGTCAGTTATAATTAGTACAGTGGGGTCTCTACAATAATCCGTATTGGAAGGTGGTTCTCAAGTTGAAATGTTCTTATGTTGAATCTGCATTTCCTATAGGAATGCATTGAAAACCATTTAATCCATATCTGCTCTTTTCCGTCCATAGAAACTACAGTGGAACCTCTACTTAAGAACTTAATCGGTTTTGGAATGGTGTTCTTAAGTTGAAACATTCTTAAGTTGAAGCAAAATTTCCCATAGGAATGGACTGAGAACCAATTAATCCGTTCTGGCTGTTTTTTTGTTATGTAGAGGTGCGTTCGTACATTGAAGCATTAGTTCCCATAGGAACTAATGCAAAGCTGGTTAATACGTACTCTACCACTAGGGGGAGAATTTTTTTTAACCTAAGATGACCTAAGGTTAAAAAAAGAGCAGGAAAGGTTTTTTTTTCCTGTTCTTATCTTGGATTTCTGTTCTCAAGTAGAAGCAAAATTTAGCAAATGGAGCTGTTCTTAAGTTGGATTGTTCTTAAGTAGGGACGTTCTTAAGTAGAGACCCCACTGTATATCTTCTATGGCTGGCTTGTGATTATTTAAACAGTGCCAACCTTAAAAAAAATGAGGAGCAAAATCAAGTCACCTAGTTAAGATGCACGTGTCCATATTCTGCAACAAAAGTATATTTTATAAGGAGAGAATATAAAATATTTTAAATATATACCTCTTGAAGAGTGAGGGACTGATGAGAACAGTAAGGTGTTTCTCATGTCCTGGTTTTAAGGAGAATGCCACAAGCTGCTAATTCAGAATAGGATGGGAAGAGTTCAGGACAATGAAGTTATATGTTACTACATGCTCATTTGTTGGTGTTGATTTTAAGGCTCCTCCAAGCTCTCAAGTGGGGACTTGTTAATTAGCAAATAGTTTGTCCTATTTTTCTTTCAAACTGTCAGGATGCTCCAGTACAGTGGTTTCTCCTTTGTACATATGGATATGATGGGGGAAAGGGTAGCCAGATTTCAGTTAAACTCTCTGGGAATTTCTTTGCTTCTCAGAGTTTCCTGACAGAGAGACAGATCTCAGGGTAACCACCAGTCAAGGAAGAAAGGGTTTGTTTTTTATGAATGAGGTGGCTTTCAAGCTTGGGCATCTATCTCCACCCATTCCCAGCTGGTGCCAGGACTTCCAGTGTGGACGTGTTTTGTGTGTATTGCTTTAAATAGCACAATGGAGTGCATGTATGCACCCACTATCTCCCTCCCTGTTCCATTCCCCTCATGCCTGAGGTTGGGCCCATCATGCAATTTGTAGCAAGGCAAGGAGTGAAGTGCCAGCATTGCAATTCACACACAAGCTCTGACAGCAGCAGCAGCACAAAGCTAGGGGAGCACACCATGCCTTCTTCCCTGACTCTTCCCCCGGATTCAGATTTGGCCCTGCAATCTCAGGGAAAGGGATGCTACTGACCTGGCAACCTTAGAATGGGGAAAAGTACAAATGGATGTGATGTAGTTACATCTGTGGACTTCTGTGGAAGAATAAACAACAAGCCATAGCTTCTGCACTCTATGGTTACCCTGTTCTTATTCTTTCTGTTACCATTTCTGTGTTTCGTGCCCTAAATAATAGGGCACTACTGAATGACAGTACTACCCATATTAATGGTAATGGATCTTCACCAAACAGAGTGTAACCCAATATATTGCAAGCTGGCATCTAGTCAGCAGTACTGGCCACTTTGCTCTTTGGATGCTGGAGATCACAGAACTAAGAGATCAATAGGTGGGGAGGGACCCACCTGATTTTGCATCCTTTTTTATACCTGGCTAGGGAGGGGGATGGAAAGAAGAGGAACTGTTCTCCCTTAGCTACTAAGAGGAACAGAAAGCAGGTGGGCGGCTGTAGCTGCAAGTAAGTAAAATGATTAATGTGGCTTTGATAAAGCAGGAAAGGTTGGGAGCAGCTGGCTAGCTCATCTGTCAATGGGAGATATGTATTCTCTTTCCATCCCTGTGATGGATGCAAATGAGCCAGTCTTTAGCGATGGGGAAACAGGAAATCTTGACTGAAGTCCTGTTTCTGCAGATACACCTTGTAAAGCTGGTGACATTGTCCAGCGTGGTGGTGACTTTTTGGGAAATACTTTGTTTTCAAAAAAAAATGCTCCAACTGATCAGCCTTATGCGATGTGAATTATGGAACAGGATTTCCATTGTTACGTTTTGATTGCATTTTAGATCCGTGTGTGATTTCTCTTATTTCCTTTGCATGCATTTTTCTCTTCTTTTCCCTAATCACTTGTCCTCTTATGTCATATCTTTTAGATTGTAAGCCTGTGAGTAGAGGAGTGTCATATTTCTGGTATTTGTGGCGGGTGATCAGGTAGGGGGGACAATTTGGCAAGCAGGAGGGGGGCCAGGCGGGCTGCAGCTGGTCCAGGATACAGCACAGCTGATCTAGGCAGTGGCAGTGAAGCCCAGCACTCCTCTTCCTCTCCCCACTTGCTGGTAAGACACAATTTACTCCAACAGAGGGGTTTACATATGCCAGACTGATTAAAATAATTTGGTTTGGTATGCCATTTAAAATAAATGACCCTCTGGCAGGGGAGTATTTTGCCTTGCCTTCCAGCCAAAAATAAAAAATAAGGCTTGCCAGCAAAATAATAATAATAATAATCTGTGCTTCCATTCATGTCACAGAGACACCTTATTATAAGCCGATTTTATTTTTCCTTAACCTGAATCAACAGGAGTTCTAACTGGCAGTGTAATCACACTCTCAGCAAGGAATAGTGTGTAGGGGGGAGAGGGGAAAAAAGCAACAACTGGGAATGTTTAGCCCAGAGAATACAGAGAAGTGATACAATATAATAGCCTTCTTCAAGTGTTTGAAGGGCTATCACATGGAAGATGGAACAAGCTTGTCTTCTGCAACTCTAGAAGGTAGGGCTCAAACAAATGGATTCAAAGTACTAGAAAGATTTCAGCTAAACATTAAGAACTTCCTATCAGTAAATGCTCTTGGACAGTAGAACGGACTACATCAGAAGCTGGTTGATGCTTGTTCATTGGAGATATTAAAAAGAGGTTGAATCTGTCAGGGCTGCTTTAGCTGTAGATTTCCTACATCAATAGAAAGTTGAACATGATGACCCATAGGACCCCTTCCAGCTCTATCATTCTCTGACAGACTTTGCTGATCTTTCCCTGCAACTGCCAAAAATGGCTTAGAAAGTGGGAATTTTAGATAACATCAGGCTGCTGGGTGAATGAATGCTCCTGTAGGGGTTCTGCAAAGCGGGGGCTCAATCATACTGTGAAGAACTTGAAAGAAGATTGTATCAAGAGGAAACAGCCAGCCCTTTGTGACTAAGAAAAGCACCTTAGGAGTGTGCTCATTAGCAACAAATTAGTGAGCAAAAAATTATGCACGAAAACAGAGCTCTGCACTCTACTACTCTTGAATGTCACAAGCACGCAAGTTGACAGTGTCTGTGACAGATGCACAATTGCATTTTATTCAGCAATCCTAATAGAATTGAACATGTTTTTCAGGGAGGATGGCACCATATTTGCTATAGTCTGCCCTCTTCTTATATTGAGAGAACCTAAACCCTAGTTAGAGGAATATAGGAAGCTGCTTCAGAGAACATCAAATTATTTCTGCATAACATCGAGTGTTGTCTATTGACGAAATGGAAATCACACGGGCCACGGGCTGCACGTAGCTCCATGGCTGGTCTTGCATCTCCTGGGAGCCTCCCAAATCTCTTCAAAAAGGGAGGGAAGGGGTGGCAAAGGGAAACTGGAAGCCTCCAGGAGGAAACTCCTCTCTAAAGAAATGTGTAAGGCTAATAATAATATATCTACTGTGGTGTAGTGGATACACTGATGGACTAGGACTCAGGAGGCCTGGTTTCAAATACTGTACCCACTCAGCCACTGAAACTCACTGAGGGTGCAGAACTGGAAAAAACCATTGCTTAAATATCACTCACTTTCCTTGAAAGCCCTGTTAGGGTCACTGTCAGTCAGTTCCAACTTTATGGCACATTACAACAACATCAATATCAGCAGCAGCAATAATATACAGTAGCTGGTGGGGAGCACTTAACACTGTTTTTTCAAGGTCACTATCAGTCAGTTCCAACATTATGGCACATTACAACAACAGCAGCAATAATATACAGTAGTTGGTGGGGAGCACTTAACACTGTTTTTTCAAACCCACAGATAAAGTTACA